TGTGGACTGAAGTGATTTTCAAAATACCAAAGAAGGGAGGTCCTAGAACAGAGCAAAATATAAGGAGAGGTCCTTAAAGAGACGGGGGCGTGTTTACTGTGGAGAGGAGGCCGTCTGTCTGATCCTCAGGGGAGGTGGTAAACGTTCTGGAAGCGTCTGCTTCTCTTCCTTGACTTTCTGCCAGCAGCCAATGAGCACGTGGCATGGTTTCTGTACTTCCCGGTCAGCTCATGGGTTCTGCCCGTCAGCAGTAACTCAGACATGGGCTCTGACCTTGGTGGCAGACACGGCTTAATGGACCCTAAACACCAAGAAGTAAAGGACGTCCTCCATCTCAGAGATCAGAGTCTTTGTTTCTTCAGAATTCCACACGTGGGTCCTGAGAGGAGTCTAGCTGGACCCAGGGGAAACCATTCTCAGCCACCCAGACACAGATGGCAGCTGGCAGCCTCCTCTTCCTGCTGTAGCCCTGTGCGTAACAAAAGTCAGCACACTGGGTGGCTTGGACTCCTCAGGGTTTGGGGGTTAGAAATGCAACATAAGGTGTCCTCTAAGGTATCTCTCCTTGGCTTGCAGGTGGCCTCCACCTTCCTGTCCCTTTACATGGTCTTTTCTCTCTGTGTATGACATCCTGATGTCTGTCTCGACCTCCTCTTAGGACATAAGGAAACCAGTCAGATTGGATCAGGGACCTTTAATAGAATCATTTTACCTTATTGACCTCTTTAAAGGTCCTATCACTAAATACAGTCACATTCTGAGGTACTGAGGTTTAGGACTTCAACATAGGAGTTTTAGGGGGACGTTGCTCTGTCTATGACACCTGCTCAGTAACCCAGGATTTTTTTTTTCTTTTAAAGAATGGAATCTACATACCCAACCTTGGTGCTGTTGGGGGAAAAAATGCTAAACAAACAACAAGAACAAAACATGGCCTCAGACACCAGAAGGGCTGGGGTTGAAGTGAGGGTTCACCATCAACCCGCAGCTCCCTCCCCGAATGTTCTGAGGTCACCTTCTCCCATGAGGCAGGGATGAAAACATGACCTGCTCCCCACCTCTGCAGCCTGTTGGGAGGACCGCATGGAGCATGCGTGGGGCCCTTAGATGTTGGCCTGGTGCACCTGGCCCGCAGGCTTAGAGAGGGGCACCCAGGGTTGGACTCCCTGGTCCAGATTCTGGAATCCAGATCTTGAGCTCATTGTCCTTGGCCAAGTTACTTCTTGCTCCATTCCCCAATTTTCTGAATAGTGGGAATATGGTAGTATTGACTTCATAGGCTTTTTGCATGGATTAAAGAGATTGGCACCTCCTAAGCCATCTTGTAGGACAGTCAACCACACTGTCCTCGGTCATATTGTGCATCTGTCATTGCCCTTCTCTTTTGCTCCCTTCCAGTCTAGTCCCGTTATCCCCTTGGATTTTGTTTGAAGTGGGGTGTCTGTTCTGCAGGGTCACCTTGTGGACCCTCCAAGGTGAGAGAAGTGGAAAATCCTCTCAGCTCAGTGACCCAGAGCCCAAGATCTAGAGCCCAAGGTGGTGATTGCCCTCAATCTGTCTTGCTCACCCAAAGTCCCTAGCATGCTCCTGTGGACCCCCACAGTTCATAGTCTCCTGGAAACTGATTTCAGAGCACATGTCCTCCTGGGGAGCCATTAGCACCATCTTTACATACTGATTTAGAACCAAAGACCAGTCAAATGATAGTAGGCAAAGACTATTTCCTCTGAGCTCATGTTCTGGCAGAGACTCGGGGGTCAGCAGAGGAGTGAGAAAGCTTTATAGTGGGAAAAGGGGAGGCTTCAGATGTGCCCTGAGCTGAGGCTGCTGGCAGGGGAAGCTGCAGATAAGCTCAACAGGAGAGGGACAGCTGACGTGATTGGTTAGGGGGCATATTTGACTTTCCCTGTTTGGTCCCAGGTGTGTTATGTTTATAGAACCTAAAGATAAAAAATGCAGGACAGAAATTAGGAAAAGTGCCAGCTAGTGATCAAGTCTTGGCTGTTTGGGGCCAATTTTTACAGGCTTTATTCTTTGGCTTCCTGGTTGTCATTACAGCAGTCTGACTTCCTGGGAGCCTGACCGCTCAGGCTGGCTTCCTGGGCTGGTGATCAGACATAAGGGGTTGGTTTCCTGGGTTGGTTGTTGCTGCAGATTGTAGGTCAGAGTTTTATTTTTATATATGTCCTGGTCATTTCTCCTTATATTCTCTCTGTCCCCAAGGGAAGCATGTTGTGTTCAGGGTTTGCCCTGAGCAAGGCTCTTAAGGAGGCCATCTGGTATGCTTTGTCACCTGCCACAGGACTTTTGCAGAGAGTGGGGGTGGCTGGCTCTGATTTGGTCAGGGTGCTTGGAGATAATAATGTAATTCTCTCCTGAGGTCTCTTGGCTCCTGTGTCTATCTCAAAGTGGAAACCAAAGTAATATTTTGGGTTAGAAGGAAGTTGTTGTTCCCCATTTTAGAATTTCAGAAGGCAGCTCTAAGAACTGTCTCTAAATGGAATTAATATGTAGAAAGGGGAACTAATTACATGGCCTTGGCTGTCCCAAGTTCCCGGTACGCAAATATACTTCTGAGAAGAATGGATTTGGAGACGGGGAGATTCTGGGTGTATGATCCTAAAGAAATTCCTGATCTTCCTGAGGCCTCATAAATAAATTAAGGGAAATAAACCTGCTTTCATTTATTATGCAGATTTCCAACCCTCTTGAAATTCATATATATGAAAAGTATTTAAGCCACTTCCTGTGATTCAAGGGTCCGCTGTGCAATTTTCCACTTTGCTGGGCCACATGCTGTGCAGTCAGGGTTCATGTCCAATACCACCCTGTGCAGATGGCACTTTGTCCTAGCTCTTCACCTCTGGCGTGCATCACATAGTTACCATTTTATCTCCACTCCAATCCAAGTACTTCAAAATCTAATAGTAAGAAGTGTGAATCTACAAGCTTCTACAATCTAGAATCTACAATCTTTTCTTCTTCTGTTATTAGGGCATTATAGTTATACATAATTGTTGGGTTCGTATTCACAAGATCATGTATGCATGGAATTTGGTTTATTCCATTTCAGTCTCCAACCCCTCACCCCCATTTTCTCTTCATTCCTCCTTCCCACTATTCTCCTTCTTCTACTCTAGTAGTCCTTCTTTCTGAAAGAAATTTGTTTATTTTTGATGGGTGCTTTATAAATCCACATAAAGGCAGAATTCACTGTGGTGTATTTGTACATGCACTTCGTGTAATTTTGCTAATTTCATTCCACATTTCCTTTCCTTTCCTGTCCTTCTCTCTCAATCTCATTCTTCTATACCACTGACCTTCCCTATGCCTTTGTGATATCCAACCCTGCTCCCGTTTCCCCTTGTTTTACTCAGCCTCCCCTTATGAGAGAAAACATTTGACTCTGGATTTTCCGAGTTTGGCTTATTTCATTTAGCATGGTATTCTCCAATTCCATCCACTTACTGGCAAATTCCATGATTTACTTTTTTAAAAAATTTGTTTTTATTGGTTATACATGACAATAGAATGTATTTTGACTGTTATACATATATGGAGTATAATTTCCCAATCTTCTGGTTGTACATGATATGGAATTACATTGGTCCTGTATTCATATATGTATAAAGGAATGTAATCTCCTATTCATGCTACTATCTTTCCTATTCCTATTCTCTCCCCATTCCCTTCATTCCCTTATGTTTAATACAAAGTAATTTTTTTAATTCTTCCTTACCACCACCCCCACTTTATTGTGAGTTAGCATCCACATATCAAAGAGAACATTCGGCCCTTGGTTTTGGGGGATTGGCTTATTTCACTTTGCACGATATTCTCCAGTTGCATCCATTTACCAACAAATGCCATCCATAATTTTATTTTTTTAATTTTTAATTTTAATTTTATTTTTGGAGTAAAACTCCATTGTGTATACATTCTGTATTTTTTTTAGTCCATTTATTTATTGATGGGCATTTGGGCTAGTTCCATAAATTGGCTCTTCTGAATTGCACTGCCTATAAGTATTGACGTGGCTGTATCACTATAGTATACTAATTTTAGTTCTTTTGGATAAATACTGAGGAGTGGCATATCTGGGTCATGTGGTGGTTCCATTCCTAGGTTTTTGAGGAATCTCCATACTGCTTTCCAAAATGATTGTACTAATTTGCAGTCCCACCAGCAATGTAAGCGTGTATCCTTTCCCAACATGCCCCTCAGCATTTGTTATTATTTGTATTCTTGATAACTGGCAAGGCTACTTCTTACTCACAAAATAAGTTTAAACCCTTGGAGTGGTGTGAAGGTCCTCCAAGTCTGGTCCCGAGTGCCCTGAACAAACCTGCTCTTTAATAAAGCCCAGCTACTTATCGTGCTGCAGCATCAGGTAGGTTTCCACCAGCATCAGGTAGGGCTCTCACTGTTTCTCTTTGCCTGCAATCAGCATCGCTCCTCTCCCTCCCCACTTTACCCCTGCCCGTTCCATGTTAGTTCTCATCCTTGAAAGGCCTGATTCAAGCCTCACTTCTTCCAGGAAGCCTTCTCTGACTTCTTCGGACCACAGCGCTCACTTATTTTCTCAGAATACTTCCATAGCACACCTGGCTTTCTTGCTCATTTGGTGAATAAGTGAAACTAAACAAGTTCTTGGTGAGAGTTATCTAATTAAACCGTAATCTGCATTATCCACTAAACAATGAGTTCCAGGAGTCAGAGACTCTCACTGCCTTATACCCTCACTGATCAGGAATATGCATTATATGTCTCAGTGCTCAATGGAGGTTGGTTGAGAACAAGAGCAAAACAATGTGTCCCATGGGCTAGGGAGAAAGCAATTAAGGAGGAAGCGTTTGATAAGAGCAGATGTGCAGTCTTCTGTTTAATATCGAGGGGTTCTCATGTAAGATTTTCATTGAAAAATCTACCACTAAAAGAAGCTTGATAATCAATGACTTTGAGAATGACGTGACCTTTACAATTTCTATTCCTCTCTGTAGAACTGGAGAGTATAGAAAATAAATGCCTGGGATTTATAAGCAAAATTCATCCGCTCTGGGAAGATTCTCCATAAAAGGCGACAACACAATATCCAGCAAAGAGGAACGAGGTATTCAGTGGGAGATTTCTTGCGGAGCTGGGTAGCATTTAGGTGCTCAGGAAGGTGGAGTAGTGACATCTCCATTGTGATAAGTCCTTTGGAAAATCAATCTGCTCTACCTTTTCTGGGCCTCTTTGTTCTACTTTGAAGTCTAGAGGACAGAATAAAGTGACAAAAACCCATCTAACTAGCTCAAATAACAGAGGGATGTGTTAAAGTCTTAGAGCCCATAGAGTGAAAATGAGGACATCTCCATGAAATCAGAAGTTCAGCAGAGAAAGTTGCTTGGCCCCTCGTCTACATGAGCTTTTGTGGCCTCTCAGGGGCTTCATAGCCTCATTTATCTCTGTCCTCTCCTACCTCTCTCTCTCTCTCGGTCTCTTCTGCTTGCTCATACTACAACTTAACTAGGAGGCTAGCTACTTAACATCATTCTTTGTGTGCCTTGGGTCAGATTTTTAAGAGATAGACTCGGATCGACTCAATGCGATCTACAGAATGATTTTCAGTTGATGTTGTAGGTCATGGGAAAGGGGTGGGGCAACCAGGGCCACAGGGTACATCGCCCTGGATGGGGTACAGGTGGGCAGGCGACAGCTGCTATCTCCTCGACAGGCTTCACAGCTACAGTGGTGATAGGGTAGTTCAAGGTCCCCAGCTACCACCCAGTCTGCCATTCATTGCTGTGCGTGCTTGAGAAGGTTTATTGAGGCTACTGTGTCTGCTTTGTCATTTGGCAGCAATCCCATGATTCCAGCACTTTCCTGGACCTGCAGCCTATTGGCTTCCTAAAAATAGAAACAATATTCCTACCTGTGGAGTCTGGCTGGCTGGCAAAGGACACGGGTATGGGGAAACCTGGAGAAGGCACTCATTTGGTCTTGCATTTGACATGAGCTTCCTCGTAGTGGTCCAGAGGGCCAGTTCTGGCGTGGGGGTCCGAAATCCAAACTCTGGCTCCAGTATGCAAAAGCCATGTGGCCTTGAGGAGGCGGCTGTGTGCTAGTCAACCTTCTATCACTCTAACAAACACCTGAGGTGGTCCACTGATAAGGAGAAGGGGCTTACTTTGGCTCACAGTTTTTGGAGGTTCCAGTCCATGGCAGCTGGCCCCACTGCTTTGGGGCAGATGGCAAGCCACACATCATGGCCTGAGCAGTCGCACAGGGACACTGCTCACCTCCAGGCCAGGAAGCAAAAGAGGGTAAGGAGGGGGCCTAGAGTTCTCTATCCCCTTCAAGGCCACGACCCTGGTGACGAAAGCTCTCCCACTAGGCCCCACCATCTCCCAGTAGTGCCATCCTGGGGACTAATCTTTAACACATAAGCGTTTCGGAGACATTCAAGATCCAAACCATAATTCTTAGCCCTTCTAAGTCTTTTTCATTTCATTTGTGAAAAGTGCATTTTAAAACTGCTTGCTGAGAATTAAAACAAACTGGGGGTCCTGAGGAATATGCTCTGAGACAGGTTTTAACTCCTGGAGAGAGTCCAGCAAATGTCACCCCTGATCGCCATCATTACTGTTCATCTTCCTTTCATGGAAGGCCCTGAATGAATGACTCCTCCACGTGCCTCACAGCTCTTGCCCCCACCTCTTCCCCAGACCTTGGCAGGCCCTAGGTGTTAACATGGGCTTAGTGGTTAATCAACTGACTTGATAATATGCTTTAGGCTCCTACTTCAAGAAGCTCTCACAATCCAAGAAAGAAAAAGATGCATAAAGAATCAAACTGCTGATCTGAATTGGAGCAATCCGCTGGGTGCTCAGAACACATCTTTCAAACCTCCTTTTTGTATGATTTGCTTATATGACCCCCCTCAACTAAAGAGATGACTTCTGAGGATTTCTCCTATTTCACTGATCCATAGCCATACTATCTAAAATTGTCTTCCTCTATCCCAAAGGATGTGCATCTATTCCTCGAGAAGGGAAAGCTGAGAGTCACAAGAGCAGCTGCAGCACAGAGTCACTTACTCTTGTCCTTTTCTCCTCCAGGAGCTGAGCCAGCCCCAAAGATCATGAACGTGTCTTCTGAGCATTGCAACATATCAGATTGGCTGAGGCTGGAAGCATCGGTGAAGGCCTCTGTGTATTTCGTTGCTTTCTCCTTCGCCACATTCATCACTATCGTCATTGTCACAATAGTGTCACAGGATCGGAAACTGAGGAAAGAGGTCCGGCACATCCTCCTCTGCCACCATCTGCTGTGCATCTCCTCCTACTGTGGCCTGGGGGTTGTTTTCCAAGGAATGCGGGCCTTGCTGGCCCACAGCCCGCGGTTAATTTGCTGGGTGGTGTTTGGGGTGCAGCTAAGTGTTGGAGAAGGGATTCTCTTCACTCTGGCCTTGATGGCTCTCAACACTTACCTGGCGATTTGCTGGCCACTGAAATCTCTGTCCTTTGTGGGTTCAGTTAAGTACAGGATTCTGGCTGGAACTTGGACGACCATAATACTCAAGAATGTCTGCTTATTCCTCATCGAGGTCACTAACTTAGCTCCCGTTGCTGTTTTTAAATTGGAACCCCTATGCCCTGTGACCTTGAATAGCATTCCTGCCAGAGCCACGGGCTTGGTTTTCCTGTTCCTTCCTTTATCTGTCATTCTTATAAGTTACTCTCTGATCTATCGAGAAGGGAAACGAGCCGGCCATTTTAATAGGTCCAACCTCAAAGCAAGGAAAACAGTTCTTATTCATTTAGTGCAGATAAGTTTACACGTATTGCCAACCCTGATCATCTTGGGTTTAGGCAAGAGGTGTGGGGTGTCTTTCTTTGCTCTAAATCTGGTGCTTTTTGGTGTCTTTGCATTTGCCCAGTGTTTTAACCCGCTGGTCTACGGGCTTCAGAACACAGAACTGCGGAGCAGGTTGCACCACGAGGTGTGCTGTCACCTGGGCTTTGGTCACACGAGGAGCGGCAGAGGGCCGGTCTAACAAAACTCCGCCACTTTGAATGGATAACTCCAATGCTAAGAGACACATCAGCAAGGGCCAGGACCTGCCTTTGACTCAACCCCAAATGAGTATCTTTATTTGGTTATGAAAGTACCTGAGTAAACCAAAATGATGTTTTGCTGCCACATACACCAAACTGGCCTCTGTGAAATCATCTTAGTGTCTTTAATTTTAAACTGAGATCAACATCTCTCACAGCCTGCCCTACTGATAATCCAGGCCTATGGGGTGGTTCTGAGAGAAACGGAGAAGGGCTTAGGCAGCCGCCGCAAGATGTTAAGTGAGGAGGTCAGGGGCAGGGCCAGAACAGGAGCATGGAGAGGGTCTTCTGACAAGGCCAACTTCCTGCTTGATGAAAGTACTCATGGACACAAGCAGGGACCCAACCAGACAGTCATTCCTGTACTCGTGCTCCCAAGCAGGGGACCCAATAGAAACACTAAGACAGACATGTGGACAGAGGGAGCACCAATGAAATGAAATGAAATGAATGCAGGGAAAGTGTGGGTGGGGGAGGGGATAAGGAAAGGAGGAAATTCCAGAGACCATAAAAGAACAGGCCAAAACTCCCCACTGGATTCTCAGCTCTGAGGCCCCTTCTCTCTGGAGAAGTCTGTTTCTGTATCTCTGTTGCTTTTGCAACAAACCTACTTCTTGCTTGCTGTCTCTGTCCTGTTCTTCCATTCTTTGCTGAACAGAGACAACCAACCCAGCACCCCTAGATGGTTACGGTTCTGTAGTCAACAGTCTCATTCTCCTCTGCTCTGCCATGATCTGTAGCTACCTCATGATCCAAAATGGCTGTTAGTGCGTCTATCATCACACTCACACTCCAGCCAATAAGAAGGAAGCAGGGGCAAAGAAGGGATTGACTCTTCCTTCTAACGACACTTTCTAGAATTACACAAAACATCACCTTGCTTCTAACTGCCCCAAACTTAATCAAATGGCTATGCCTGGCCTTAACAAAGGCTGGAAATAAGCTTCAGTTGGGAAGCAGCGTCCCCAGCTAAAAACTGGAGTTCTTTATACCATGAAAGGAGGGAAGAAGATATTGGAAGGCAAAGTTGTTTCAAGGACCATTTTCCTCCCAACCAAAAAAAAAAAGACAATGGATGGGTTATGATCACCACAAATAGCCTGCACTTCAATATTTTATATAAACAGAATTAAGTGTTCAGGACCCCAGGAAGCTTTCTTTGCTTTGTGTTAACAGTTCTCAGAAAACAAGAACATCGAAACGGCTTAAACATGGGGGCCAATTCAAAATTTAATTCTAAGCAAGTCTGAGGGGGCGGCATGAAATAAATTCCTTCACAGAAGTTTGTGTGTGTTTCTGTGTTTTTTCAGAGGACCCATTTCAGAATTGGTCAGGATTCAGTTCTAGAGACAGGAATCATCATTCTTGGTATTTTCAGCAAAAGGACTCGACCCAGGACTCAGAAGCTGAACAAAGCCCCTGGAAGGGCCTGAGGAGCAGAAGTCAGGGGCCAGTGATTGATGTCAAGGGTGAACCTCTGCCGTGGGGTCTGGAGGCCGTACAGCCGCTGCCACCATGGTCCCCACGACCTCCAGACCCCACATCTTTGTGCCCTGACTTTCCAGAAGGAACGAGATGGTCCCCGTCTCCTTCTGCTTCTACATGTCACACGACCGTCTCTTACTGGTGTCACCTGGCTGGCTCTGGAGCCCTAGAAGCAAGGAGTCTGGAAAATGCAGCTCCTGGTTTCACAGATTGGGTGGTGCAGGAGGTCCCCACAAAAGGGGAGGGAAATGAGGGCAAAAGGAGCCACTCACAGGAGCCCCGTTACTACTGTTTACAGGGCAGAGCAACAGGGACAGAAACAAAAGGACTAGTTACTGAGCAACTATGACGCTCCCTGACACCGTGCGAGCCATTTTACGCTACGTCAAACCCACACACCGACTCTACCAGGTGGTTCTATTTATTCCTGTCCTACCTGAGCTCAGAGGTCAGGACGTTTCCTAACCTTTGCCGTTACATTACGCTGCCCAGCGGGATCACCACTGGGAGCTGGCCCAATTGCTTGGGAGATTCAGGCCTGGGTTTCCCATGTGTCTCCGGTGTGGACACCCAGCAGGGAGAAGCAGCATCTCCCTCCTCTCTCCATCTGCAGGCCTCCCTTGTGTTCAGAGTCCAGGGGCTCCTCTGCTGCCCTTGTGCTGCTCCTGGGCTTCAAGGTCTGCTGTCTCCTCTCAGAGAAGTCAAAGCGCCACCTTCTCTCTTCCAGAGTTCAAGTGTCTTTCCAGGCTGGTGCCAGGTCTTCTTTGTCCCCGACACCCCACTGGAGCTTGCTAGACTGCAGGCACTCAGAGGAGAAAGAGACCCTGACTGTGAATCCGGCTTTGTACACAGTCCCACTCCACAAAAGCCATGCTTTCTTTGTCACAATATTAAACAATATGAGAGCCAAGACTATCTTTGTCTCCCTGAAAGTGAAAAAAAAAGTAAAAAAAAAAAAAAAAATCACCAAGCTTAACTCAGTGTTAAATCCTCAGTTTACTAAACAACATTCAACTATCCTTAAAAAATTTTAAACTCTATTTTCTGATAGCAAAGGGTTTGACTTTTGCTTGTAACATCAGTTGAGTGCTATATGGTAGTTTTATATTTTCCCTTGAAAATTATCTTTAAAACAAATTTTTAAAATTCAAAAGATTTGAAATGATTTTTAGTGCAAGTAAGCCTCCTCCCCATTTCTCTAGGTCCTCAGCAGTCTTCTAAGACTCAATAACTTATAAGGGTTTTCTTTTTGTTTGTGTTTTCAAGAACTGACCTACAGAAGGTAAGCTGAGTATTTCCCATATGAAAGGTAACTTTGCATTTTTTTTTTTTATCTTTATGTGGTGCTGAGGATCTAACCCAGGGCCTCACACAAGCTAGGCAAGTGCTCTACCACTGAGCCACAACCCCATCCCCTGTAAGGTAACTTTGATTTTGATATCCTGGATTTGGATTGGAAAGTTATTTAAGTTGGTATTTAGAGTGACAGACAGTTCATGACATAAACAATAATCAATTTCATGATGTGCAAATCCTTTGAACCCCCAGTGAAGTACAAACTTGAGCAAGATACAGAAGGGAAGGGGAGAGAGGAAGTAGTGGCTCAAGTCACTTACAGTTAGCTGAGTTCTTGTAAAATGTTCTTTTCCATACAGACATGGCGCAATGATCCTGAGTTTCAAGTTGAAAAGTGTGGGGTTTGGGGCAAATGTTCAGAAGAGATGGACTTTGAAATAGCCCTAAGAAAAAATAAATCACTTAAGGAAGAAATGTGAATTATCTCAGAATTTCCAAGTTTTAACCAACATTTCATATAAATAAGTGCAACCATATCATACTTCCTGAAACCGTTTCTGCTTCTATGTAGATATGCCAAATAAAAACACATATTGACTAATTTAATAAGCTTGGGCAAAGCATCTAAAAGCAAGATCAAAAAAATAGTTCATAATTTTCATCATAAAAAATGTTGAATGAATCCAGATCATTATTTAAAAGTAGTTTAAGACACACAATTTTTAAACTTTGATGTTCTCTGAAAGTCAAAGGCTATGGCAGGAACTGCCTGCTGATGGCTAAGCAAAGGTATATACATATAATGGAGAGAAAACTGGGCATCTTCCAATGATGGGCATAGGGGAGAGGACACCCTAGAGGTCTCCTGGGCCAAGAGGACAGTGGAGAGGTCCAGCTGTGGGGTTATATAGCTGAGGCCCCTAAAGTCTTCATGGCAAAGGAGAGGGGCCTCAGCTAAGAGGCTGGACAGGTTACCCCTGGCAGCAGAGGATGAAGATGGAGTGAGAAGCATCTGGCCAGAGGCAAGCATTGCCCAAGGGTCCAGAGGGGTTAACTCTGAAGATATCACTAAGTGCTACAGGAGAAAAAGAATCGTCTTTGGAATCTGCTTCAATGGAAAATGCAAACATCTGCCTTTGTTGAGGATGGTGTTTCCTGAACCTTCCATCTCCCAACCTGGAGGAGTCACAAGCACTCTGGAAGTCGAGTGTTGATCCCCAACACAAAGAAAAGACCACCGACTCTAATTTTAAATCAAATTAAAGCAAGCTTGTATTTGTGTACACAAAGGCTGGCCAGCGGCTGTCTCACCCTAAATCTCGGGCCAGAGATCAGCACCCCAGCTCTCCAGGAACACGGTTTTATAGAACAAAAAGTTGAGAACTTACAGAAAACAGTATTTCGACAAGATTAATACAAAGGCAGATAGCAGATTAATGATCTACATGGCATTATATTTCAAGGTGGGGAGTAAATTCAGATCCCAACATCAGAATTTACGAGGTGCCACTGAGGTTTCAGAGAGGGTTGTTATCTGGTCAGGGGGAGCCAGGATTTATGAGGCACCACTAAGTTTTTAGAAGGGGTTGTTATCTGGTCAGGGAAAGCCAGGCATGGGTGAGTTCAAGGCACAGGCAGGAATTCCAAACAAGTTTAGAAATCGCAGTGATTTATAATAAAACAGAAATTAACTTTTCATGACTTTGTGACGAGATGGCTCCTAATCTTAAGAAGGAATTAAGGTTGGGGATATAGCTCAGTTGATAGAGTGTTTGCCTTTCATGCACAAGGCCCTGGGTTCTATCCCCAGCATCACACACACACACACACACACACACACACACACACAGAGGCTGGGTTCATTGTGAGGAAGTCTAAATAATTCCACCTGCCATCTTATTGCCCCCTTGTAATGTATCTAAATAGCCACATAACATATGTTTATGATTCCGGGGATTAGGATGGGAACACCTTTTCAGGAGTGTGCAGGAGATGTAACTTTTTGCTTATCATGTTTACTAAATTGAGATTATTCTTTGGAACTAAAAATGATCAAAGGACTTTATTATTTAAGACTAGACAAAATGCACATTAGAACTACAGAGGGATATCACTTTGTATCCATTAGGACGACTACCCCAGAAAATAACAAGATTTGGCAAGCTTGTAGAAAAATTGGAAAACTTGTACACTCTTGGTGGGACTGTAAAATATACAACAAATATGGAAAACAGTATGGCGTTTCCTCAAAAAGTTAAAAGTGAAACTACCATAGGATCCAGCAATCCCAGTTCTGGGTATATATCCGAAAGAATCGAAAGCAGGGTCTTGGAGAGATATTTACACATCATGTTCACTGAATGAATGGATAAAAAAGTGGGGTATTATTTAGTCTTAAAAGGGAAGGAAATTCTCTCTTGAGCTACAACATGGATTAACTTTGAAGACATTATGCTATGAGAAATGTGATAGCCACAAAAAAAATCTATCTATCTATCTATCTATCTATCTATCTATCTATCTATCTATCTCATATGATTCTACTTGTGTGAGATACCTAAAGTAGGCAAATTCATGGAAACCGAAATTAGGATGGGGACTTCCAGGAGATGGGAAGACTGGCAAATGTGGAGTTGGTTAATGAATATTGTGTTTTGTTTTCAACATGAAAAAAATTCTGGAGATCTGATTCATGAAAATGTAGATACACAACATCACTGAATTGTTTACTTAAAAATGTTACAAAGGTAAAATCTATGTTGTATTTTTTTTAACTACAATTTTTAAAAGAAAGAGTGTCTAGACAAGAGTGAGGGGTCTCATCCAAGATTTCACAAAAGGGAAAAGTAAAGGTTGAATCCAAAAACACAGTTGGAACGGAGCCTGGGGTAAAAATCATGCTGCTTCTTGCTGCATCCTAGCAGGTCTTGCTGGTACAACAAAAGAGTTATGAGTCAAGCATGATCAAGAGTGCTGTTTACTACAAAGGATTTACAGAAAATTCATACACAGCAGGTATATACATCCCCTAAGTATTCTCTCTCTCTTCCTCTTTCTATGTAGAGAAACACACACACACACAAACACATATACACACATATGTGTATATGTATGTGCATATATGCATATGTATACACACAAATATGTATATATGCATAATATATATAGAGAGATAGTTGAGATAGTTGTAGGTTTTAGTTGAATCTGGAATATTTCAAACTGAGTAAAGGTCAGATAGACTTTAGTTATGATGATTAAGATTATACTTACAGTTTACGTAGCAATGTGTATATTTTTAAATATAGAAAACTCACTGTCATTTGCTTTGCTTTGGGTATGAGAACTTTTTCTACCTGTGTTCTTATTTTCTTTCTTTCTTCTTGGTGCTGGGGATTGAACTCAGGGCCTCATGCCTGTAGGGCAAATGCTCTACCACTGAGCTGGACCCCCATCCCCCAGTATTCTCACTTTATCTCCAAATCTCCTACCTTTGATTTCCTA